GAGCTGCGACACCACAGAGCCCTCGCCGCCGCCCCAGCGCCTCAAGTCCCACTGCAGACAGATCCCCGGCCCGGCCTCCGGGAGAAACCAGAGGCGGTGGCAACGGAGACGAGAGGAATCTGCACATGAGCGACCATTAAAAGTAAACGCTATGTCATCCCGGCCGGAGCCCGGCCAGCCAGTGCGGCTCAGTGGTTGAGCATCAATCGACCTAGGAACCAGGAGGTCAGGGTTCGCTTCCCCATCAGGGCACAGGCCCGGGTTGTGGGCTGCATCCCCAGTGTGGGGCGTGCAGGAGACAGCCGGTCCACGATTCTCTCTCATCATGGATGTTTCTCTCTCTCCCTCTCTCTTTCTCTCTGACATCAATAAAGATATACACTGAGTGGCCAGATTATTATGACCACCCGACGTTTGTAGGCAAATTAGCTATAATTTCTCGCTCAAGTTGCTAGAGGGCCAGACATTATAAACGTCTGAATAGCACAACACACCTAAGTATCGTTGCTGGTCAGGTTCATCCTATCATGGTGATGGCGTATCCCAACGGAGATGGCGTCTTCCAACAAGACAATGCGCCATGCCACGGTGCTCGTATTGGGCAGGAGTGGTTTCAAGAACATGAGGGAGACTTTACCTTGCTCAGGTGGCCCCCACAATCACCAGATCTCAGTCCAATGGAGCATTTGTGGGAAGAAGTTAAAAGAGCCACCAGGCAGCCGGTTCCACAACCATCAAATCTCACAGAACTGGACAGTGCTATTCATCAGGCATGGTGTCCGATTCCTCGCATCACCTTCCCACATCCCGTGGACTCAGTGCCAAGAGGAATCGCCGCAGTGTTGAAGGCAAAAGGTGGCCCAACGCAGTCCTGACGGGGGGTCATCATACCCTGGCCACTCAGTGTATTTTAGACACCGGGGGGGGGGGGGCAGTTTGCGTGGCATCTGGAGGGAAAATGCAGCCTCCGTTGAAACGCCACCTAGGAAGCGGGGGTGCCTGCGAAGCAAGGGTGACCCGACCTGGGGACAGAGGGCGGCGGTGCCTGAGGCTGCGTCCGGGAAGGAAGACGGAGACAGGGAACGAGAGAGGACAGGCCCCCGCGTGGGACCCGCAGGGCGGGCGGGCCTTGGAAATATGAACAGAACGGGCATATCGCCGGCCAGCGCGGCCGACAGACAGACAAGGAACGACGCGGATGACACGGGCGTGAACGTGCCAACGACCTTGGGATCCCAGGATACGTAACTGATGGAGACGGACGGACGGAGAGGGGACCGCCGGACCGTCCCACACCCACTCCGGTGGCAGCGGCTGAGCAAAAACCTTCCCACAAAGAAGCCACCAGGCCAGACGCCTCCGCCCCTGCGTGCGAGGGGAGACGCGCCCTGAGCCCGCCCGGAATATTCTGGAACATGGAAGGGGCGCTGCCCCTCAGAATGATCTGCTCCCAGGAGTGGGGGCCGGCGACCAGGACCCCCAGAGGCCCCGGCCCGTCTCTCTGAGCCCCTGTCCTGAAGCTGAGGGCCAGCCTGGGCCGGGGCCCTGTCACAGCCCCGGGTCTGAGCCGATGAGGAAGCCGGTGGGGGCTGGAGGCCCGGCTGCCCCCGCCAGGCAGGCTCCTCTCT